ATAAACCTCAAAATCTTATTAGCACAATCTTGATTAGAAGTTGTTTTACCCATATTCTCAAGTTGATTGATTATATGGGAAAATCTCATCTGCATGGAGGCCACGGTTTTACCAAGTTCCATGAAGAAGAGTTCAAATTCCTCTATTAGAGTATTGATCTTAGATTGCTTAACGTCTTCAGTTCCCTCATTGAGAACTTTAAGAGCATTCCACATTGCCTGAGTCGTCTTACAATGTGAAATAGAAAAATATACATTCATGCTCAATGATGAGATAAGTATATTTCTCGCCTTCAAGTCATAAGACGCCTTTTTAGTTTCAGCCTCATTCCAATCCTTAGATGGTTATACAACTGATATGCCATCAACGACTCTTTGAGGAACATAGGGTTCGTCTTTGATGGCTAACCAATATTGCACATCCACATACGTAAGGTGTATGTACATACAATCCTTCCAATATGCATAGTTTTCACCGGTGAAAATCAGGGCTTTATTATATGGTCCCTTCATATTAATTTGCGCCATACTCAAACAACTTTTGAATATGGAGTAATTTTTATAGAAGGGGGGTTGAATAGACAATTAAAACATCCCTTCTTTTTAAAAAATTAGATTACACAAGCGGAAACGGATATGGTGAAAATTCGTTTTGAAAAGGTTTTATGATATTGGAAAAGAATTTGTGTTATACTTACACCAAAGGTTTTTAATGAGTTAGAATACAATGAATTGATTAATGGTTAAAGTTTCAACGAGATGCTTAAAGACTTTAACAATTCTTCAATTTGCAAGGCAACTCTAAATTCAATTCTCATAAAATAATCAATTAACAGGATCCTTTAGAAGAACAAATCTAATCAAACCTAAAATTTTACAAATCAAAAATATGAATGCTATGAATCTAAATAGATACGCAAGCATGCAATTTTAAACAATAAAGAGAGAGGGAGAGAAGAAGAGAGTGCACCAGGATATGTACTAGTTCGGTGTTATCATCCTCGCAGGCACCTACATCTAGTCTTCGACGGTGAACCATCAAAGAGTTCTTTCTTCCATTAAAATAATATAGAATTTGGTTCGTGTTACAATAATTCAGAAAAGCAAAATATAAACTATAACAATCCAATCTATCTTCTCCCTTGCTTGTTGTAAGAACTTCCTTGTAACTAGCTACCACCACTAACTTGATCTTTACCCAAGATCTTGATTTTCAACTTTTGATGGATTCCTATCTTGATGAATTTCCTTATCTTCACCCAATCTTGAAATTCCAAGCCTTGAATCCTTCTCTTCAACAAGTTGACAAATCCACAAAAAAACTCCGCAACAATGGAGAAAATTTTCTTCTTCTTTTTCCTTCAAGTAAAATTTCAACCCTTGAAACTTCCAAGATCAAAACACCTCTTGCAAAAATATGCACACTTCAATGAACAATTAGATCCCTAATGTTTCCCTAAAATTAATCATCACACACACACACACACACACACACACAAGAGAATGATTTCCATGGGTATGATTAAGATGAAGATTTGTGAGAGAGAAAGAAGTTTCTTTGCAAATGTTTTCCAATTGAAAAATTTTGATCTCTTATAAAATGAGGAAATGAAACTTATATTTATAGGTGCAAGAGAAAATGCACGATTAATGAGTAAAAATGAACTACCTGAATCAATTCAGACTTCCCATGACTCAATTCAGTTAAGGCAGTTGACCTGAGTCGAATTCAAAATGAATCAATTCAAATTAACGTTCTGAATCAAGTCTCAACCCTGACTGAATCAATTCAATTTGGAATTTACAGACCTGTGACTCGATTCAAAACTGCTTTTGACTCAATTCACAAAAACATAATCTAAATCAACTTTTGAGGCACTTTCATGAATCGACTCATGAAAGCCTTGACTCGAGTCAGAAGACAAAAAAAATTGAATCAAGTTAAGAATGTTTCTGAATCAATTCAAACAGTTAAGACACATAGTCAACTTAACAAATGCATGGATAAACCTCTTTATCATGCGTTTGATGATTAAGAAACAATGGAACTCAAATTAAACAATAAACATAAGAAAAGCATGAAAATAATGAAATAATTGATATCTTGATCAATGATAATTTCAACAACTTCATTAGCCTCCAAGGAGTGTGTTGTAATGCTTGAATTGGTTTGAAACCTTTTGGAACTCCCTGGGCAAATCAATTTGCAGCTTGGTACAAGTTGGGATATGAGGATGCGATTCTGGTGTTACAGAAGCAAGGTGATGATTTGGATCACTTCTATATGATGTATATGTAGTGTTTGGATGCCTGGTTTGAGTGGAAGTGGACTGGAATTGAGAATTCAAGTTTTCACTTCTTTGAAACTTTGAATTTTTGAAGGAGGATGATTTCTTAGATAACAAGCTTCTTGCAATGTTTTGGTGTAATTTGAATGAAGGAAATGATTCCTATTTATAGGAAAATGTACCTATTACTTGCAATGTTTTGGTGTAATGACATGTACCTATTACTTGAGTGCCAGGGTACACATAGGTTGTTTCTCACATGGCTCAAATTCTGATCTTTTGAGATTGAATTTATCAGATTGTATCTCATCCCTTGGTGTTTTAATCATTCTTTGACATATTATGGCGGTTTCTTGGCCAATTCACTATTGCACTTTAATGCTAGATGACAAAACTCAACTTCCTGATTTTGCAATGATGTTTTTCACATGTCAAGGGATAGAACTTTGAAAAATCTGTTGTGATCTTGCAGAGCACATGGGATGTTATAAGAATGTTGTTGGATGTGTGTAGAGATCAAGCTTCCAAAGTCATCAAAATCGAGTACCAACATTCTCTTGCAATCTGTCTTGGAAATTCAGTTTCATCAAGGCTTATTGTAAAATTCATATCTTCTTGCTCAAGTAAGATAAATGGATGTTCTTAGACATTTTGAAAAGGTGAGATGACATAGTGAAAAATGACCCTAAAGTTGGCTCCCACATAAGGCAGATTCTGCTTGAAAAATTTATAAGTGTTTAAGTTCAAAAAGTATTGAACCTCCAACTTTGTGGCTTCATATCTCTCAATCTATGCATTTTTTTAGAATTCATCCTCAAGGAAAAAGTTGTAGTATGTAGCAAGATCTTCAAATTGGTCTTTGGAGCAAAGAAAATGGTTACTTGGATTGAAAGTTATGGTCTTGAAAAGTTGGACAAAAATCATGAACTCTCGTAACTTAGAAAAATGTCAATTTCTCCATTGTTGCCCTTTTTTCAAGTAATTTCACTTTTCTTTATTTCTATTGATCAATCATGATTCAAGTCACATATTATCATCATTGTTGACTTGAGGTGCCCATGGTTGACCAAAAATCTCAAAAGTCAAACTTGATTTTTTATCACAGTTGACTTTTCATTATATGATCTTGAATTCTGTGATCTTTAATGAAATCAAATCCTTGGGATATTTGAACATTATGGATGGACTCCAAAGGTGTTTTTAAGTGTCTTGAATTATGTCTCAAGGTTTGAGATCATGTCTTAGTTAAAAGTCAAATATGCAGTTGACTTTTCATCAGAAACCCTAGTTTGTGAACCAGATGAATTTGAACTCTTGCATTGCGTGTGAATCAAGTTCTTGGATCAATCCAAACATAAGAATAGACTAATGTGATGCATTTGAGATCATTGAAACATGTCTTGAAGCATAGAATCATCCTTAGATGAAAAAGTCAATTGTAAGTCTGATTGGATCAAAACCCTAATTTTAATGCACTGGGGATCTTGAGGCTTGATGAGTTTGAAATGATGCAATATTGTACTTGATTTTTGATGGATGAAAATCCTTGATCATCATGGATGAATAAAAGACTTGAGATGTTGAATATGATGCTCATCCTTTAATAATTCATATGCTTGAGCTTTTGGAAGGAACCACCTAACTTGTAAAGCAAGCAAACACACACATCTTGTATTTGTAATGGGTTAGTGATGCATAATGACACATATGTAATGATGAATGTTATGCAAATGAGGTGGCCTCTTAGAAAGAAAAAATTAGGGTATGACACAACCTAAACCTCATTTAAATCAAATCAAACCAAACCGCACGTTTTTTACTCTTACAAGTTAAAATCATTCAAACCGCATCTCAAACACCCCTTCTATTGTTATACAAAGATTAATTAATTCTATGATAAATTTGTATATTTGAACAAATTGTTAACAAAATTGTATATTAAAATAACTTTCTTAATTTCTTTGATTTAACATGAAGTGTTCTAAATTTAAGAAAGTAATATGAATATAAACATGTGTTTCTTTCTTTTCTTTTCTTTTCATGAGTTCCGAATGCTATTTAACGTCACTTTTAATAAACAGGACATCTACAAAAGAATTTTAAGAACCTTTCTAGAACCAATTCTCATGTCCGGTTGATCTATACTTTCAGTCATCCACTAAACTTTATTGACAAGTACTATTAATTAGAGAACCACATAATTTGCTCACAATATTTACATTTAATGTGTTAATTAATTGATTAATTACTATTTTACTGCCTCATTCTTTACGAAGACAATCAAGTTTAATACTTTAATAAGTAATGTAAGCATGATTTAAGTATAGATTAATATATGTACAAAAAAAAGTATAGATTAATATATGAGGCTGGAAAAATATCTATTCCATAATCCTTTCTTCATAGAAACATGTGATTCATCTTAAATTGAAATTTCAACTGTTTTAACAAGAGTTAGTGTTGTCACCAAGGATACTGATAACTGTAACAACTAAAAAACATCGATGACAGATGGAATCTTAAATTAGACATACTGCGCGAGCAAGAACCATCCATGGTAATAAACAAGAGACAATTTCTGAAACCAAAAATAAGTAGCAGCAGAAATAACTGCAAAAGACACTTTGTCTTTCACAACAAAATGATCCAATGATCTACCATGTAAAAATGAAAACTAAAATCGATTTCTACAACACAGACTGTCAAGAAAGTCTCACATTCCAAAACCAAACACAGACCGAATCCTCTGGAAAATGAGATCCCTCCATCCCCTCTCTGTATTCTCCACCACAGTCGCATTCCCATATCTGCATTTGAAATCAATCACTTCAATAACACAAGTCTCCTCATAACCAATATAATCAAACACTAACCTGTCTTCTTCAGGCACATCTGTGTGTGTTAGCTTCACAACCGTAACTCCAGATTCAGGCTCCTCAAACACAAGTCTCACCTGTAAAAATCACAACCAAACAAGATTTTAGAAAAGGTTCGCAACAACTTAGGTCCCAACCAATGTAGTCAAAAACGAGATAATAAATAGAATCAGATGTCTTGTGAAAGATCATAAAACTCAGCTGGTTAGCACGGCTCGTAAATCCTAATGAAGGGAAAAATGGTAATTTTATATATATTTATACACACATACACATAAACATGAAAAATGATAATTCAAACCCAAAAAAAGGCCCATCACATGTTTTACGATCTTGCTTCAAAAGCTCAATCTTGACCACATTGGCGACGAAAACAATAATTCTCCAATCTTAGCACTCTCAAGCATACGTGGCATGTACGATCTAGCACTCGATCTTGACACAATGGTTCCAATATAAGATTTTTTTTGCATTTGTTCAACTATGATTAACACCTGAGTTATAAATTAGTAGGTTGTGGTTGCATTTGCGGATAATGCAGCCAATGCAGCTTTTAATCACATTTATCGAGGTTTTACAATAACTATATAAACCCTAATTGAGATTCCGTTTGCCACATTCAACCACAAATCTTAAGAATGTTATGAATCTACTATGATAAACAATTTAGTAAACAGATATTGGATAAACAATTATCATATAAATAAGGTTTTAAAAAACACTCCATTACCTCAAAAAAAAAAAGATTGGGATAATACAGTATCAATATCAATACCATTATTAACTGCTATTATAATGAAAAAGAAATTATGGTTAATTCACAGTTTGATGACCGCAATCCGTGTGAATTAACCATAACAGTTAATAACACCAGTATTGCAACACCAGTGCCGACCGAAATCGCAAATGTCTTTACGCAACGTCGCAACAGTTATTTAAACCATGCATATAAGAGTTAGTGTATGCATTTTCCATGACAAAAGTAAAACAAAATCTATTAGTAACTATTTTCATAAAAACTATCTCAGAAATAAGCTAAAAAAATAGCTTATTGGCATGTTATCAACAATTTTCATAAGCTCTCACACAATAAGATCCTATATACCGCGACACAACCCTAATATCAAACTATAAGTCCCAATAGAAACACAAACAAACAACACTTACCATTGATTGCTTCCCATCGTGCCAGCTCCCAAATCTCCATCTCTGAACAATCAACTTCCCTTCCTGCAATTCCAAATTCTCCCCTGTCACAGACCCATCAAAGATACTAAACTCACCACCAACCTCCTTACTAATCCTTGCATTACTCTGCGTAAAACCCTTCCATCTATTCTCATCCATCAATATCTCAAACAAATCCTTCGCCCTACAATTAAACTTCTCACTCAAACTAATCGTTTTACAACCCTTCTTCCCCTTCTCCTCCTTCTTCGCAACCGCAACAACCTCTGCCGTCTCTTTCTTCTTCGCTGCCACGGCCGCCACAACCAAATTACTCCTCTGCGGCGGAGCAACCTTCTTACTCTCAAGCTCATCTTTAACAGGTCCACCTTTCGACATACTCTCAACCCAAACCCTAACCTTCTCCAAAATCAACGGTTTCCCTTTCACAACAACCGCTTCCCTCAAACTCTTCCCAATCACTCCCTCATCTTTCACGCTAACCCTAACCTCAGGATTCTCATTGGCATTCTCATCGGAAATATACGGAATCTCAAAACTCCCGGTGACCTTATGCAAGATCTTCCCGTCGGAATCCCTCGCTTCACCTTCCCATGAAATCACCGCGCTGATTTCGTACCCAGGAATGATCTTCCCCTTACGAACATTAACGTAGGCCTCGCCGTCGAGCTTCTCAACTTTCTTGACAGTGGCGTGGAAATTACCCTCGCCTTCCAGGATTTTGAGGTTGTTGAATAGTTTGTTGAAGAAGGTTCTAGACCATTCTAGACAATTGGTTTCCGACCAGTGCCAGTTGTGGACGTTTGTGCCGTCGGGTCTGTCTTCGACGATCCACCGTTTGTCGCCTTCGCCGTATTTCGCCATTGAAATTGTGAATGAGAAACCAAATCAAATAGTGGTAGTAATAATGTAATAACGATAGTGTTGGGGTGAGGTTTTTTTTCTGAATTTGTTGTAATATATAGGATTGTTGGGTTTGGAAGGATCTAGAGAAGAAAGAAAAGAAACCCTGTTCCAACTCCAACCAGTGAGGCCTAGGAAGGATCTAGAAGACAGCTAAAATGGGAGTATAGCCGTATAGGGTTAGTTTTTCTCTGTGGTATAATCTATATTTTGGTTTGATAGTAAGTTGGGCACTTATACATGATGATAGTATTACATTGCATATCTTTTTTCTTTTCGTTTTCTTTCTAATTCTCTATGTTTTTTTTAATAAAGAGAAAGGGTAAAATTAAAAAAAAGGGAAAAAGAGTTAAGAGAGGATGGAAAGAAAAATGAAAGGTGAGGATCAATATTTTTCATAATATTTTTTATAGAAGTGTAAATAGGGTTATATCCGAGAGATTAATCGGGTTTGAATATAATCGACATCATTAGAAGGGAGGTGTGTGGGTGGTTGTGGCTCGCAAGTGAAGAGATTTAGTAAGAGATTATATTGATCGTGATTATTAAAATATGCATCCATACAATGTAAGTTCTTATATTAGAAATGAAGTTAACATTATTGTTTTGATTTATTATTATTTTCACTTATTTGTAACATTCATTATTCATCCATTGCATTCACGCAAAACAACTACATATGTTGAAACTCTAACACAATAAATATTGTTTGGGGATGAGAAATTAAGCATCATCTAACCCATTATTGCTATTATGCGTCGGTCAAAGGCCCAATTAAAATATGTCCATGTTCATTCCAACAATGCATAACCCAAGTGAAATTATCCAACGTATATAATTAGGACATGTGAGATCTAATGTACACTTTTCTGATCTTTATTTTTCATTTAACTCATTTTGAACTCTAAACTGACATGGACATCGAAGTACTAACCATATAGGTGCACTCAGCGTCGCCGTATCAAAAATTGACATTAATACTCCAAAAGTTCAAACTTCGTCAATCAACATCAAATATGGTTCTCGCGCGGAACAATAACAACGTCTGTGAACATTGTCTTCTAATTCCTGGGATATTCCACGATCAGATCATTCTTAATCTATAAGGTAGATTTCTGCCAAAACTCCAGTAAGTTGAAAGAGATAACTACACACATCTCGCCAAAGAAACTCGTTGAATTCCTCATCTAGTACCACCTCAACCCTTTGTCATCGATGAGATCTGTAGAAAAATGTTGTACGACGAAGATCCACCACTAGAAGGCTTTAACCAATAAACGACTGATACCAAATCACAAATTAGACAAACTGCTTCTCGGATTTCAAGATTGTGAAAAGGTATTTAGAATCCCAAACATGGATTTACCGATGTTTATAACAGTTACAATGGAAGATTACACAGTAGCAGGTTTTCTTGTGGATGATATGAGTTCCTGTAACGTCTTCTACATCGACACACTCGAGTAGTAAGGCCATCATCCAGATCTGAGTCCATGCAGTGGAAAAAGTCTCCTAGATTTCAATGGTTTTGTAACTTACCCTTGTGGAGTGGCAGATTTACCATTATCACTCGTAGAAGGGGAAGGCGAAAGGAATTTAACCATCTATTTCCTAATAGTTCAGTGTAAGAGAGTTTATAATGGCATCCTTGGCAGTTCCTTTTTGACAAAGCTGGATGTCGCGGATTTCCCAGTCCACCTTAAAGTAAGTATCACGACAATGTCAGGAAGCCGTTCATACTTGATGTCGACTTGAAAGCAGCAAGACATATCTGCAAAGCTATATTAAAAAATCACCCACGACCTTGGTATTGTCAGGTGAAGGTCTGATAAAAGTTAATATGGCTGACCTCAATGTGCGTGAAGAAGAAGTCAAACCAACTCTAAATGGCGATTTTGAGGTCAATCAGCTAAATGATAATCACATTCGATCTGTGAAGATAGGATCCGAACTACCTTCTGAGGTGAAAAAAATATAATCAAATATCTTTGGGCTAATGCAAATCTCTTTGTCATCTCTCCACATGAAATGTCTGGCATCGACCCCACCATAGTCTATCATCAATTAAATGTTGATCCTAATTCTCAATATATCTACTAGTGAAGAAGAAGGTAGTCTCCCGAGAATGTCGCAGCTATTGTTAGCACATTCGAAGGACTGTTAGACACCAACTTCATTTTTGAAGTAAAGTACATGAAATGGCTTTATAATGTTGGGCTAGTTAGTAATGTTGGGTGAGAATATGGAAACAACAATGTCTAGACATGGGGGGTGTGAATAGACTCAAATTCCCTTTAGACAATTTGAAAAAAAATTTAGACCTCATAAACAAAATCGGTGATTTTAAGAAGCATGGAAGAAAAACACAAAAACACGAGATTTGAATCAATCTGGACAATACCAAAAAGGGTCATTTTTAAAGTTAATGATATGAATCATTATTTGCACTTGATTTGAATCAAATGAGATTATAATTCGAATCATGTTCAATTTTTTATCTGAATCATTTGATCCAAAATGGTGCTCCAATTTTCAGCAGGCGAGTGATTTGAATAAAATATAACACATGATTCGAATCAAATACCATAACATCCAAATTCAAATGTTCTAACTTGTGATTCAAGCTACTCATATGAAAATTACAAAATAGTAATTTTCATAGACCGAAAAAGGAATTACCAATAAGGATCAAATGAAAATAATCATGAAATGTAGAGGCTTCTCAATGGTATGATTTAGTTTTCGAAGCAATTATAATCAAATGGAAAGAATAATACAATCACACAAATGAATTGAAATAACATACAAATTACAAATACATAATGAAACAATAATTGAATTATATAACATCAAAACACAAATTGATACTTAAAGCACGTAAATGATACCAAATGATACTATATGATTACAGTCTCCCCCTTTTTAATGTTTGGAAAATATGTGACATTATTGTTGATGAATTAATCCAAAGCAATATTTGGAATTTGATGGAACATAGTCAATCTGGTGACTATCATACATTACTTCCTTTGAGTCGTATAAGTTTTAAAGCTCTCTTGCATTAAATGCTTAATGCGCATAAATATATGTCGAACCTCGAAAAATACAATCCTTTGCTAATGGTCGCAGAAAACAGAGTCGCCACCGAACTTTATTCATTCCAAGGTGGAATAGGAAAATATTGAGAAAACCTTTAAGGAAAGAACATGGTCATCGTAACCAAGTTCTAGGTTCGGGAGTTGGTTACGCAAGGGGAAGGTATTATCACTCCCTCACGCCCGTTGTACTCAACGGGAACCTATTAATTCGATTCATGAGGAATTTTAGCTAAGGTTGTTTGTATTCTTCTAAGATGAATAATGAAAAAATAAGGTATGAGTAAAGGATTTTAATTACTAAGGGGAAATTGGGGGTTTTTATTAAGGTGCTCGCCAAGGATTGGGGTCCTTGTACCTACGTATCTTCATTTGAAAAAATGAAGAATTAGAGCGTCCGTAGTTCGTGGGACTACAGGTTGTTAGTTCGTTTTATCGAACAAATGTTCAGGTCGCATTCTAAGGGCGAAACGTTAGCTTTTTTACTCTCGGCGGAGGCTTAAGCATTTAGTTTACAGACGTATTAGAAGGAAATAAACATTGTTCTTATGAGAAAAAGTTTTAGTCGCACGGCGGTGAGAAGTTGAATTAATGTGTTGATATTTTATTTGGATGGCAATCATTTGGACGCCAAGGAAGACTCCTCGTATCCAAACAATCAGGAAAATGAATCGAAGGCTCGACTCTCTCTCTTCCACCTTAATTGTGAAAATAGATTATAAATCTTTTATACAAGACAATTGTTCGAATATTAAGGAACGTTCATCATACCTAAACAATTGAGAAGAGGAATCAAATGCTCCATTCCAACTCCTTTTTCATCTTTTAATTAAAATAGGGTCTAAGTATGGTTAAGTTGATTAATTTGACTTTAAGAAAGTACTCGATGTTGGTCGAGGTTTGAGTTTGCGTTCGAAATGATGTAAGGGTTTGAACTAATGGAAAAGAGGTCGTAATTGTGTATAAGGTAAGGTCAATGGTGATGCACAAAGCAACCGGCTTACAAGAATTGGGGTAGGGCTTGATATATGGATCAAGTATGCTTTAGGGTTTGGAATGTTCGTCATACAATGAAAAAATATAAACAAGCAAGTAAAAGAAAGCGATAAAATTATTTAACACTTCATTGGGGAGATGGTATATCTTTTTGAATGGGGATAATAAAAGACGGTAAACACACATCCAAACAAACAAACATATGCAAGTAAATGACCCACGAAAATGATAAACAATTAAATCGGTTCTTATTATTATGTGTGCACTAGCAAAGTGGGCTAGTGTTCTAAACAACCAACTAGAAATAATTGATCGAATAGGTCTCATTGTAAGAAAGTCCAAGAGTAAGTTTTAAATGTTGTGTGTAGTGGCCAATGAGGTTGATGACGATGCACGAGGCAATCGACTTACAAGGGTGAAAATTGCTCGACGTTGAATCGAGAATTTATTTTGAAAATGGTTTACGTGTATGAATTTGAAGTGACCAATCAATTAAAGATGGATACATAAATGTTGTAGAAATAATAACCATAAAACAAGAATTAACAAAAGAATTAATCAATTAAATCCTATTTTAAACAACTAATCAAGTTTATTAACCTTTAATTATTTTTGTTAGTTAGTAAAAAAAAAATTCATTACCTAACTAAACTAACTAAAACACTAATTAAATTAATTAGTTAATTAAACAAGATATAATTAAATAATAAAAATGAGATTAAAAAAAAGATAAACAAAAGGGTGCCTCAAGAGAGGAGGGTGTGTATGTGGAGGGCTGGTTATATGAGGACTAGACCTTATATTCCAGCCCAAATTATGAAACTCGGAACAGCCCAAAGGGCTGGTAGTCCGCTACAAAAAACAAAATTG